AGGTATGTATGGGAGCAAAATTGTTCTTCTACCCTTCTAGGTTTTATCAGCTGATCTAATAATCGAATTTACATAAGACAGATTAATAGGAGAAAAACAAATTTAATTGTATAGGTACAGAAACCCCATAGTAATAGGATCTAAGACCAAAGTAGGCTGTCTGTGTACCTTTTTAAACAAAGAATCAAATATCTGTGAGGATTGAAAAAACAAAGGAGTTTTTCATCAGGGTAGCAAAATAATGAAGAAATAACAGTCTATTTGTACAGCTCTCTTAGCCTTGAGTTCCCCATGTTGGACAATGAGGATGCCCTCCATCCTCCCAGCACAGGGAAGATACCTTTCTGTGGGAACTTTGTTTCCTGCTTTCAGGGGAACAAAGGAGGGTCAGGGGGTTCTTCTTATACCAGCTGTTTCAGAAATAACTTTAATCCAAAATAATCAATATGTGAACATTTGTGTATTTTGGGATAGCTTGCCCTGAGCCCCATCAGTTGCATACGTATTTGGAATTCTTGTATTTTCTTGATGAGTTAAATATTCATTATTTAAATTGTCCCTTTTCAGCTCTAGCAGTGTTTTTGACTTAAAATCTATTCTGTGTTATTTTATAGCTTTTTTTGTTGTTGTTGTTATTTTGTATGGCTTAACATTTTCTTTCCCTTAAAACCGTTTGCTTTCAACCCATTATAGTTATCCTTTGTAAACAGCTTGAAATCAGTTTTATTTTTTAATCCAGTTGAGTAGTCCTTGTCATTTAAATAAGCATTTTGTACATTTATATTTAATGTAATTATTGATGTATTACAGAATATTTTCTGTCTGTCCTGCCTGTTCTTTCATCCTTTACCTTTATTATTATTATTTTTTGGTATATTTTTGATGAATTAAACTAAAGAGTATTTTTTTTTTTAGATTTTTGTTGTTGTTGTTGTTATTTTGTGGGGGAGGGAGGTAGATAGGTTTATTTATTTTTAGGGTAGACACTGGGGATTGAACCCAGGACCTCATGCATGCTAAGCATGCACTCTATCACTTGAGCTATACCCTTTCCCTAAAGAGTTCTTAATTGTCTCATTTTTCTCTAGGAGTTTGAAAGTTTTACTCATATTCTTTCATTACTTTTATAGTTATTACATCCTTGACTTAATCAAAGTCAAATATTAGGATCTTTTAAACTCTTTATGGATAATCTGAGGACTTTAATGTTAGCTCCTTGAATGCTGTGTATCCCCTCCTAATTAATATGACATCATGCACTTTAATTTTATATATTGCAAAAGCAAGTAAAACATTAGCATTATTGTTTTGTACCTTTAATATCCATTTTGACATATCCACGTATTTACTGGTTTTGTTGCTTTTCACTCTTTGCTGCATCTTTGTTGTTTCATCTGGATGATATTTCTTCTGTTTAAAGAATCCTCTTTGATAGATTCTTCAGTGAGAATCTGCTGGTGACAAATTCTTTTAGTCTTTTAGAATAAAAATGCCTTTATTTTGCCTACATTGGGAATTAACTTTTTTAATTTGCCAGTTTGACAGGGGATAATGGTATTATACTGCTTTAATTTGCATATATTTTATATATTTACTACTATTCTCTTTCTTTTCTTAGGTACTTAATTTCTTACAAGGTTAAGAGCTTTTTCTTTTCCTGGAAATGAGGAGAGTTTACATAATTCACATAACTGAGGTTAAAATACGAGGTGTGCTTTTGGAAACTTATCTGCTTCTTGTTCACACACAAAGAAACAGAAACCTATCTAAGAGCTGCCTATGGTTAATAAATGAACTCTCTATATGAACAAGCACATTATTAATGCCACCAACTGTTCTTGCTAGTCACTCTGATTTCACATTACAAACTCCTGGACCAACAACATCTTTTCTTCAACTCTGTGACACTTTGGATATTTCTCTTTTCCCAGCAGTATTTCAAAAGGGGAGCTCTTTTTTTTTTTTTTGAAATAGTTTTGAAGGGTAGAGATAATCCTAGGTCAATAGAAGCTCACTCATTCAACTAGATAGTTTATTTTCAGCACTTACATCAAAAGTTGTGTTCATTCCTTATCCCTTCTGCCTTCATTTAAGTTATCTATTTTTGGATAACTGAGCAACCCAGAACTTAGTGGCTTAAAACAAGTATGAGTAATTATCTTTTACAGTATTTGCATCAGGAATTCTTGTAGAGCTCATCTGAGCAATTCTTCTGTTCCATATGGGATAGGCTGGGCCAAAAGGTACAAGAAGATGTTACTTCCGTGTCTGGCATTGCCTCTCTGTGCTTCTCCATGTGTCCTTTCTCTCTCCATGTGGTGTCTCATCACTTAGTATTCTGGCCTAAGCTTCTTTAGAGCTTGGCATCTGGCTTCCGACATTCAAAGAAGAGGCCCTTAAAGGTCTCTTCAAGACCTTGAGCAAAGTTGGCCAAGTGTCACTTCCACCATATTTCACTGGTCAGAGCAGATCACAGGGCAGGCCAAGATTCTGGGGAGGGAAATAAAATCCGTCTCTTGGTGGTTGGAGTGACATGCCTGTATGCGGGGAGAAGGAATTGATGGAAGCTGTCTTTAGATACTATTCACCACTCTCCCTTGGCAAGTACTTCATATTTCTTTTCTGAAGACCAGAACACATTGCTTCTTTCAAACTCGTATTTATTTTAAAGCATAAATTAGAACATGAGTCGCGCATATGCTTACCCACTTGGTCCTTTCCTTATGGACTAAAGATAGAACAGACTTGTTCTAAACAGGCTGCAGTTAATGCAAAGTATGTAGGCCACCCCTATAGAAGCTTGGCTTTCTAATCAAGAATTCATGTAATGTTTTAGTTTTTCATTTGCTTCCGCCCTCCTGGTATTAGCCAATAAAAGAATTATAGTTTTAATAACTAGTTGACACAGCTGATTTTATCGATTTTAATAAATAATCAAACATGGCTAAAAGCAAAAACATCAAACAAATGATTTAAATCCCTAAAATCTTGCCTGTGCTAATCACGAAACCCAGTTAAATGACTAAGATAAAAACAGATTAGTGTCATTAGGCAAAAAGAAGAACACGTACCAATTACAGAATATAAGTCTTATCACTGAATAAAAACCTGAAATGAACTGCTGTGTGCTCTTACCCATTTGTGGAATGCTGCAGCCTCTTGTTTTAAGTAGCCATCCAAAAGAAATCAATAACCACTGCAAATGGGGGAGCAAGAGATCATCAACTGAACGCCTGTCATTCCTTTGTAGTGTTTTCTCCTTGGTTATTTTTACGAGCCCTATGAAGTTTGCCCAAGATGGAAAATGAGACTCACAGAGATCAAGTATTCAGTCCAAGGACCCATGGCTACCTGGAGACGGAAGTGGGATTAAAAATCCAGGATCTGGTGCTGTACAAAATCCCTGTGATTTCCTGCTCCCATGCTGAATCTCAAACAGAATTGAAATCATACCTTACCATGAGAAGTACCACTTGTGGTCAGTCCTGAGTCCATTCTGCTCTATTGATGCTCCCACCCTGGCACTTAGGAGAGGAGGGATGCTGTCCTCATGGGTGTCATTCTCACGTCTTATGGTTTCTGTTCAGCCTCCCAACTTTGAATAACCGATTTGTAATTTCATCATATATAATCTGTCTGGAATAAATTTGTTCCTGAGAGGTGTAAATACAGAGCACTGGTTTCACACGTTGGAGTGTTACTCAGAGGATCTTAACCTTTTTGTGTGTGTTTTAGATCCCTTGGCAGTTTGCTGAGGACACCTCACATTAATGTTTCTACATGCAATGCAAAAGAAACCAGTTGTATTGAAACATGGTGTAACTCAGTGCCCTAACTTCATCCGGCTCAAGCAAAAAAGAAAAAACACGTCAGAAGTGGGGGTGAATTTAGTGGTTTAAAAAATTAGATCAGAGATTAGCAAACGGTGGGCTGTGGGCCAAATCTGGCCCATTACCTGTTTTTGTAGTTTGTTGAAAGACCATTATTTTATTTGTTTATGGTCTATGACTGCTTTCTAAGAAGATAAACCAAAACCAAAAACGCCTCCGTTCTCTTGTGGAAAGAGGAGCCCCCTTCTCCCTCACTCTTCCTCTAACTCTATTCCAGGTATCCTTTGAATATTTAAGGATTTGGCCAAATTTTTGAAGTTAGTGTCTAATAAATGGCCTTCTTAAATGTAGGTCTTTTCTTCTCCCCAGCCCAACGTATAGGTAGGGAGAGTGTTTTTTGCTGTTAGTCATTCATCTTTAATCTTAACAAAAGCCGATTTTGGCCCATGACTGCTTTCATTTAATTGGAAATTCACGGGAGGGAAGAGATCTCAGAATTGTATGCAAGGCTGGAGTGAACATAGATTTAATTTTTAAAATTGATAAAAAATTCATTTTATAGAAATGAAGTCAATTGGTTAAGAAGTATCTGAAAATAAAAACTGTGGGTATTTCAGTTCCATTTCTCTAATAGCAAAGAAAACACAGGTTGGGGAAATCTGATAATGCCCATTTAAACATGACCTGGGAGAGACTCCAAGAAAGCAACCTATAAAACAAATAAATCACTTACTATTATGAAGTGTGGAAAAGGCAGTGATCTCAGACCTAAACAAGGAGATAATCACTATTCATATTGTGTTTTGAAACACATTTATTAAAGAGACCTGTGGAAACGTATTCTGTAAGCAGCAAATGAAATTAATTCCCGCAGGCAACTGCATCCTGGCAACCAGAAATGCAGTGCTCTGGGTTAAAAGGCAAAATGACCTTTGGCCTAGAAGAGACAGGGATAATTATGTGAAATGTCTCCACCCTTCTGTCTTAGATCCCTTTCAGAAAGCAAGAGGGCCTGCTGGTTCTGCCCCAAGATCGTGAGCTGGAGTAAAGAGATGCCATTCAACCTTGAAATCATTTTCTAGAAGCAGTATCTGTTGGCCTCTGGGGATGCTAAAACCTCCTCTGCCTACTGTGGTAAGCAAAATAATGGCTCCTCAAAGATGTCCAGGTCCTAATCCCTGGAACCTGCGGACATGATACCTTACATAGCAAAGGGGACTTTGCAGATGTAATTAAGTTAAGAATCTTGAGATGGTTTCCTGGATTACCCAGGTGGGTCCAGTGTGATTTCAAGCCTCCTTATAAGTGAAAGAGAGGCAGGAGAGTCAAAGAGAGGCTTAGAGGTGCTACATCACTGGCTTTGAAAACGGAGGGAGAGACCACAAGCCAAGGAACACAGGCAGCTTCTGGCAGCTGGAAAAAGCAAGAAAACAGATTCTTGCCTAGAGTGTCCAGAAGAAATAAGGAATACAGCCTGACTGACCCATTTTAGGTGTCTGACTTCCAGAACCAGAAGGTAATAAATGTATGTTCTTTTAAGCCACTAAGTTTGTGGTGACTTGTGAAAGTGGCAATTAGAAATGTGACAATGAATATATATATGTTCATGTATAACTGAAAAATTGTGCTCTACACTGGAATTTGACACAGCATTGTGAAATGATTATAAATCAATAAAAATAATAATAATAAAAAATAAATAAAAATAAAAACAAGTATACCTACTTGGTCCTTTCCACTCTACCTGCATGAGGAGACGGGCCATCCCTCAGTCAATTCAGAGGACATGTTTCAGGCCACATTTTAGAAGATGCAACTTTGAGTGTGATATAGAGAAAGGTGGAGTTTCATGTGGCAAAGTCACCTTTAGTTTTCAGTGAGAAGTTGTGATCTCTTTGGTTTCTTAGACGTTCTGGTTTCTTACATGGGTGGGATGGCATCAGGGTCCTGGGGCCCATTCAACCTTGGAAGGAAGCACTGTTGTTTCTTTCCATCCAGGCCAAGGAAAGAAATAGTCCACTGGCCAAATTTGCAGACTCTGGGGCAAGACCATCAGGTTTTGGAACATAGTCACGGTGAGATGTTAAGCAAATCAGTTAAGCTTTGTCTCTCCATTTTTGAGTAAAGGATAACAGTATCTAAATAATGAGTTATTTATGTAAAACACTTGAAGAGTACCTGAAACATAATAAATATGATGATGATGGTGATGGTTTGTGTAGATTTTGATGCTGGCTCTATTATTAGGTTTATAATCTTGTGCAATGTTTTTAAACCTGAGTGAATCCCAATACATTTTCATCTATAAACTAGAGCTAATAATAGTAACCACCTCCAACGTTATGAGAGCTAAGATAGTACATATAAAGCATGTGGCAGGTAGACAAGGCTCAGTAAACTTAAGCCATACTGCAGGCAGTGGGGCTCCATGCAAAGGAGGCCAGGAGTCAATGGTAAAGCCTCCCTGGAATGTAATGCTTCTCCATCTTCTTCAGCTCTTCCTTTCTTTGTCTGCAGGACAGTTAAGACGGAAAGAACTAAGAAGGCACAATTGCATTTTTATTCCACAACCAGGCAACTCAAAACTGGGGTCCTCAGCAGTGAGCCGGGGCAGGTGAGAAGACACTATGTACATGTGGCACATCTTCTGGGAAAGTCAACTTTACTCAAAGGTAAATAATTTAACATATTTTTCTTTGAAAATAAACATGGATGTATTGTGAAGGAGAATGCAAATTTTCCATGAATCTTTAAGAAGGGGAGTGGATTATTCAGCCACTTTCTTATTGAAGCTTTAGAAACTCAACTCAAAACTAGCGTTAGCCGAAAAGACATTACCGCTCCTGGAATCTGAAACTTAAGAGGGCTGTATTTTGGAGCTGGATCCAGCGGGCCTACCACTGTCATCAGGAGTCCTTATTTTCCATCTTCCACGTTTGTTTTCCTCTGTGTTGTCTTTGGTTGTTTGCAGGCAAAATCAACCCTTGTCCACCGTGAGGAGACTTTAGAAAAATTGCTTGCATCTGGGGACCATGCTCCCTGATTCCTCAGGACATACATTTATTCTCTTCTTTGATATATTTGCCTGAACTGTGAGCAAAACCACTGTCTTTCTCTGAGCCCACACCTTTTAGCCAAATCCAGGTGTATTGGCTACACTTTGTCAGGCAGTGGTGGGACTGAACACACACAAGAGGCTCCCACCTGTGACTGCCTTCTGCAGTCTGAAAGTGTGCCACTTACGGAGAATATGTTTAGGGACAGAACCAATTGCCTTGACTTTCCTCCAGGCTCCAGTGTAACTTCCAGCCTTAATCTTCAAGGGTCTACAGTGGAATTTGAGAAAAATGTTTTTCATAGAAGTCAGGTGAATGATTTGGTGTGCACTGTCCATCTTTCTGTATCTTTCAAGGACTCGTAGCTGTAGTTAAGATCCAGAGCCCTGAGTCCTAAACATTGTACCAGAATTACTAAGAATTACTGAGTTTCTAAATTCCTCCCTTAAGTAAATAACATGGACTTGGGTTACCAACTCTAAGTAATTTAAAACAAAAAGAGCAAATCAAAATGTAAAACATCTTGGGCCTTCTCCAAGCATTTCCCCAAGTTTTTAGGAGACTGCTAAGTCCTTGAACTGCTCTGTGAAAAAATGGTGAATGGTCAAGGAAGTACCTCTCTGGGGAACTAATGTTCCCTGTGAGCACATTAAAGGCTCTGAGAAATCTTGCAGTAAAAGACCCTGTTTGGCCTTATTTGACGTCACCCTTCTTACACTGATAGACAGCTTGCCTCACAATTATTAACATTTGGAACACTCCCTGTGAAGAAATGCTGCCTCAAGTCCAGGAACTGGAAGCCAGGAAATTCTTGCTTGGCTCCTCAATTATAAGCAAAGAATATCCAAAGACTTTAGGGGCTGAGTTCAAAAGTGCACTGTGTGCATCACAGCCAGACAAAAGCTGGCGTTTCCGGGGAGTAGAGGATCCTGGGCTGAAAACCAGCTGTGAGTGTGTGATTAGGCACTTCCCCGGCTGAATCTTGAAAAAGTGAACACTAAGCATCATACATTTGGATCTAAAAGTTACCTTTATTCTTTTTTATCCTGTTCTTTCTTTCTGTCCGCTCAACTGTGTTTCCCATCAAGATCTAAAAGGTTAGAAAGGCAGGCACAAATTCAAAGGGATGGAATGATTCAACAGCACTCTAGGTGGAAGAGCCCAACTTTCACATTTCAGAGGAAATGGCCAAAGGAGTTGAAATTATCCAAATTCTCCATATTTCCACAGGTCTTCTTGTGCTGCAGATTGCTATAGACTGATGTTTATGTCCCCCACAAATCCCTACGTTTAAACCTAGCTCTCAAGGTGATGGTATTAGGAGGTGGGGCTTTGGGGAATGCTTGGGTCATGAGGGTGGATCTCTCATGAATGGAGTTGGTGCCCTTACAAAGGAGACCCCAGAGAGCCCCCTTGCCCCTTCTGCCATTTAAAGACACAAGAAGGATATCTGTGAACCAGGAACCAGGTTTTCGCCAGTCACTGAATCTTCCAGCACCTTGATCTTGGACTTGACAGCCTCCAGGACTGTGAAAAATAAATTTTGGTTGCTTATAAGCCACCCGTTCTATGGTTTTGCTGTTGTAGCAGCCCGCATGGACTTAGACCCACCAGTCTGGAGACTGTGACATCTGTGGCAGTGGCAAGTGAGTCAACAGTCAGGCCTGGCTGCAGGCCAACTGGACAAGGAGGTGGTGTTCATCTTAGACTTTTTCCCTCCCTTCTGTGTCATGGGACCTAGAGCCTTCGAGCTGCCCTTCTGCCACTACTCTCAGCTACGCATTCCTCTCCACCTTCTAGCTACGTGTCTGCCTGAGCCAACCTGGGCCTCGCTCCTCCCTGTTAGCTAATGGGAATAACAATAACAATGATAAATAATAATAATCATAGCAGTAGCAGATACTGTTGAGTGAGCACCTCTGCAATTCGTGAGGCTTGATGCAAATCACAGCATCGCGACAGCTGTGTGTAACATCTGTTGTTGTAGAAACATCTATTGTGATTTACCCATGAAAGGATTCAGATGTAGAACATTTAAGTAAATTTCTCAGTTCCATGGAAGGAGGGAATGGCAGAACTAAGTTACAGAAGAGTTGTTGATGGTGAGTAAAGCGTCCTACACTGCCAGTTGTAGTATTTGTATTGTAGCATGAACATTCTGGAGATGACGATGCCTTAGCTTCAAGGAGACAGCTAAAAGTCAGAATTTTGTTTTTCATGGGAAATGACTGTAGAGATCTTTCTCTTTCCATTGTATCATTGGGTCATAGGAAAAATTTCCTCTCTCTGTGTGTGTGTGTGTGTGTACGCATGTGTGTCTGTGTGGGAGGGGTGGGAAGGGAAGGGAGGACATGAAGACTCCGTACTTAGTAAGAGGTTAGCAACACACATTGCCTGCTTTTCTAGTTAGTATAATGAGTTCTTGTTTTGAGTTTAAAATGTGTACTTTTTTGGTATTAGATTTTCATTTATTTCTGTTCGATACATTTACTTTTTAAGAAAGAAGCTAGCATATGGTCTATTGTTCAGCCTTGTTAACATTTTGCTGTGTATCTAACAGTCTACCGTTTTTCCCTTTCAGTTTTTACTGAGATAAAATTGATGTCCAGCACTGTGTAAATTTAAGGCGTACGGCATGATGATTTTATTTATGTATACCATGAAATGATTATCAAGGTAAGTTTAGTGACTATGCATCATCTCATATTGGTATCAAATAAAAGGAATAGAAAAATTTTTTTCTTGTGATGAGACAGGATTTACTCTTTTAGCATCTTCATGTATGACATACAGCAGTGTTAATTATATTTAGAATATTGTACATTCCATCCCTAGGACTTATTTATTTTGTAACTAGAAGTCTGTGCTTTTTGACTGCCTTTATCCTGTGAATGAAAAATACTGCAGACCATATCAGTAAACAAAGAATGCTGAAGCCATCAAGTCATCAGCGGCTGCCGCCACCTGCCAGTAAAGACAAGCCTGCAGCCTGGCCTCTGCAGCCACTCACAATGGTGCCCTCTGAGGGGACTCAGAATAAGGACAGAATACTGGCCCTAGATAGCTAGGTGCTTGTCAAAGGAATGAATTCAATGAGCCCAAATGTTTGCTTCCTCCCATTCATATAAAAGCGCTAAATTCTTTAACTTGAGATGTCTGGTTTTCTTCAGTTAACAAGTAATCTTTTAATGTTCCAACTACCTGGTCTTTGTTGTAAAGCTCCTATATATCCTAGGTCCTCCCCTACCTCTTCGGAGCAGTCCCTCAAAGCGATCTGAGAGGCTGTCATCCCAGGCTGTGTCCTTAGAATTGTCTACCAAATAAAACGTAGCTCTCAACTTTTAGGTTGAGAGTTTATTTCAGTCAACAATCCCATTCCCCCTCGCCATAGCCCCCACCTCTGGCAACCACATACTGAATCTCTTTTTCTATGAGTTTGTTTTGAAGTATAACTGACTTACAACACTATGGTAGTTTCTGTTTTACAACATAGTGATTTGGAATTTCTGTACATTTCAAAATGATGACCATGATAAATCCAGTCACAATCTGTCACCATACAAAGATACGACACAGTTATTAACTATATTCCCCACACTGTACATTTTCTACCTGTGAGTCGTTTGTTTTGCATTTGGAATTTGGAACTCCTTATCTCCCTCACCTGTCTCTTTCCTTCTTCCACCCTCTTCCCCTCTGTCACCCACTTGTTTATTCTCTGTATCCATAGCTATGTTTCTGTTTTATTATGTTTGTTCATTTGTTTTGTTTTTTCAGATTATACATGTAAGTGAAGTCATATAGTATTTATCCTCCTCGGTCTGACTTGTTTATTTCACTCCAGGCTCATCCATGTTGTTGCAAATGGCACAATTTATTTCACATCTTTTTTGTCCATTCATCTATTGATAGGCAGTTTGGTTGCTTCCATGTCTTGGCTATTGTAAATAATGCTGCTATGAACATAGAGGTACATGTATTGTTTCTAACTAGTGTTTTTGTTTTCTTCAAATGAATACCCAGGAATGGAATTGCTGGATCATATGGCAGTTCTAGTTTTAGTTTTGAAAGGAATCTCCATACTGCTTTACATAGTGGCTACACCAATTTACATTCCCACCAACAGTGCACGAGAGTGCCCCTTTCTCCACATCCTTGTCAACACTGGTTATTTCTTGTCTTTTTGATAATAGCCATTCTGACAGGTATGCGGTGATATGTCATCGTGGTTTTGATTTGCCCTGATTAGTGATACTGAGCATCTTTTCATGTGTGTGTTGGCCATTTGTATGTCTTTGGAAAAATGTCTATTCAGATCCACTGCCCATTTTTTAAATCGGGTTTTTTCTTTGATGTAGAGTTGTATGGGTTCTGTATATTTGGAGGTTAACCCCTTATCAGACATATCATTTGCAAATATCTTCTCCCATTCAGCAGGGGGCCTTTTGGATTCTCCTATATTAAATTTATCCACTGAAAAAAATAAAACATCTGTGGCAAAATAAAGAAGTGGCCAATACTAAAAGAGCTGTTAAGAAAAACATAGCTTATTTAAATAATGCTAAATGTATGTATACGATACCTGATTTTTTTTTTTTTACTTTTGAAACCTCCTTTTGATTTTTGATAATTAATTGTCACTAAAGAGCCAAATCACTTTTGGTGCAGCGTCTCAGCGGATTTCTCAGATTGTGGTGATATGAACGAGGGAAAAATCATCATTGTTACATATTTTATTATTTTGGAATTGTTTTCAAGCCACTGAAGTAATTGGCCTGCAGCCTCCTCCAATTAATAAGGTTTTTAAATGCATTTCTACAAATTTCCTTTTTGGAAGCAAAAATCTTGACTTGAAAAACTTGCTCATAGCTGAGGTTTATTGCTAGGTGTGGGAAAAGCCTGGGAGCCATTTCTGTTTTAATAATTAGTTTCAAAGAATCCTGTGAAATCTTCATCAACATTTTTAAAGAAGAAGTCCCTATCAAGGAGAAGAAAGACTTTGAGACAGAAGGTGACAGAGTCTCATGCCACCTCCTGAGAGGTAGTGCTTGCTAGGAGGCAACATATTAACAAGAAGGGCCTTGTGTTTTTGCCAACCTTGAAGATTTTGTTCCTCCAGTAACGTGTGGTCCCTGAGTTGGGGCTGGAATATATGAAGATTTCTCCCAACCGATTCTCCACAGAAACTCAGAGGATTCAAATGCAACTTAATGTCCCCACTGGCCCCCAAATGTACATCATTTGATTTCATTAAGGAACTGTGTTGTGAGACAGCCAATACAGGTTAGAAACGAATGGTTATTTTGAATGGTCTTCATTGGGTTTTTTTTTTTTTTTTTTTTAGTTCTTTTGGTCTTTCAGTTGGGAACATTTATGAGACTAATTTCATTTCTTATTGCAAAATCTATGTAGTAATGTGGCTGTCATCATAAATTCCAAAGGCAATTCTAATTGACCAGAGGAAGTGAGGGCCCTGAGGACTTAAGCATCTCACCATTTCATGTTGTCATCTCAGGGTGTTTCTTGAGAATATCATTAAAGAATTCATGGATTCTGATTGCTTCGGTGCACAGCTGAAGGGCTTGTAGGACTTTTAAAGTTCAATTTTGGTTCAACTTTCTCATCTTGAACAAAAATGGTAGCTACCATCCTTTTCAAATGGAATAGCTTCTGTCATTTTAAAATATTTTTATTTTTACTTTTTCTTCTGGAGATGGAGGAAAGATTGCATGGATACATTTCTTGTGAGGAAAAAGTGGGGTTGATATCTTCATATGATTGCCTTGGATTAAGAAAATGGTTGGAGGAATTGAATCCAAACCTCTCTTAATGTGGCACTCCACTAGATTCAAAAACATCATTTGTAACATCGGAATTGCAAAATCTCAACTCATTTCATAATCTCTCTCCTGAAACTGGCTCCTTAAATATATTAATTTTAGTGGAAACAATCAAATAATTTTCAATGTCTGGGACCAAAAATCTTAAAATAGTTTTTTTTCCCTATCTGTTTTTTTATTTCCCATAGTCACAACTTTTTTTTCTTTAATCATGGAACTGTTCGTTATCATAGCCACTGTTCAGAATTCACATCTGGGAGGCAGTGTTCATAGTACATAAAAATTTGAATCCCGACTCTGTTGCACCCTCTCCTCACACTTCTCTGGGATTTGGTAACTATCAGTGGCTCCCACTTGTCCAGTGTCACAAGTTGAGCTGCATCTGTTTGTTGCAGCAAGGTCAGCTCCCCTTTTCCAGCTGTCACCATGCTCATGTCCATCTCTGTCTCTCCATTCACATCAAAGCCTTCTCCTAGGATGCCCACCCTCTCTCCTTCTGCCTGTCTCAATCTGACCTTCCCATCCAGGCTTGGTTCAAACCTGCTTTTCCTATCCTCTTCCCAACCATTCACGCCCACACTAGCCTGTCCCTGGTTTCAGGTCTGCCTCAATCACTGTCAGGCATCTTGTTCCCTCCGCTAGATTGGCAGTTCTTACACTCAAAGAACAATGCCCCATATCTCTTTTGTGTTCTGACAGTGACTGGCACAGTTTAGACATATAGTTGGTATCTGATTAATGGAACTGATACGTGATTTCCCAGCTTTCACTGATACACCATGGTCAAAACATAATAGTTTGCTGTAATTTTTAATGATTTATCCTTTTGGTTTTTCAAAGCTACCTCTTTGCGTCAAATTCAAAATGGGGCAGACATATCCTTTCCGATTAGAAGAGGAGCTCGAAAATGACATTAGACCAGCATCTTAAGAATAATAGTAAAATTAGCAGATATTTATCCACAAGTTATCATCTGCCACTAAATGAAATGGCAAATGGAGAAAATGAGATGTTTGCCCAAAAGCACAGAGCTAGAGAAGGGGAAAGTCTCTGATGCCAGAGGAGCACTCAGCCTTTATACTCTGCTGCCTCCCAGCTGAGTTTTGTTTTTCCCTAATCTCTGTTGTTCTTCACAAGGTCCCCAGGAGATACCCTTGGGGAAGAGGCCAAGAAAGGCATCAGAATGCTCTTCTGCTGGCTGGGACTTTGACTCCAAAGCTCAGTGTAAAACTTTGCCATTTAGGCTGATCCCCATGGAAGGCTGTTTTGTTTTCCAGAGATGAGAGCGAAACCAAATAATCTGTTTCCCTCTACTTCATGCCAGTCTTGGATCTTTTTTTTTTTTAATTGCAGTATAGTCAGTTACAATGTGTCAATTTCTGGTATACAGTATAATGTTTCAGTCATACATATACATATATATTCATTTTCATATTCTTTTTCGTTATAGGTTATTACAAGCAATCTTGGATCTTAACGTTGATGGCAAAGAAAGACAGAGGAAAATAGGTAAGAGCAGAAAATTCAAGAGCATTTGATAACTTGAGTTTGCTTTGTCAGCTGTGGGAAGTGGTGTGAGAAAGATGGTCTGCACTCTGTTGTGGTTATGACCTTGGTCCATTCTTGGTGAGAGAGGCTGGCAGATGCCTTGAGCTTCCCACAGAGGCCACTGTGGACTCATAACTTCTTGGGTGCTGAGGACATGTGACTTTAAGATGAAATAGACTAAACTTCATAATATTTAAGGGTTAGTGAGCCTGGTAAGATTTTGAGGCACACTTGCTTAAAAGAGTCTGGAGGAGAGGTATCTTGGAATTACAGGGTCTGTGCTAATACTGAGCCTTCGTTTGTCTTTGTATTTGATAAGCTAACAGCCACCTTAAATCAGAAATCCTCTTCTCGGAAAAGAACTTAGAAAACAGGAAACAATGAGAACAAACTGGCA